TTTGCTAATTTAGCCCATTAAAAATCGTACATTTGCATATAATGCATTTCGCTGAACGTATAGAAGATATCTACTTGAAATCCTTACAAATCTTAGTAAACTGTTYAAAAGTATTCAGAAAAGAAAWTAARTTCCAAATTTTTGACTCATTCTCAGTTGTTTTCTCATTGAACATTGTTAAAAAAATTTTATGATGGCTGGACTAAAAATTGCAGTTTTAATTTTCATATACTCGAGCGTGACGTTTCTTTATTTAGTTCCCAGTAAGTCACTATAAAGAAGAAATAAAGCAAATAAAACATACATTTTTGGTTTCGAATGAATACAAATTCAATTCWACAGGTGTAGCTGGTGAAGCAGAATGTGTAAATTGTCCACATTTGACACACTGCAAAGCTGCCTTAAACTCTTTCGCGTTCGCAGATAATGACGACAAGAGTCGTATAGTTGACAAAAGAAAAAATGATCCTGCTAATGCGAAATTGGATGTATGCCTTGGCCCAAACAAAAAAGTAGTTGGTAACTGCGCACTTCTTTCCCACAATAGAGAATGTTTTGTTTTATTGTGTGAATTTGTATTTCAGGTACTTTATTTGGTGTGGTATGCAGAGGTGATACAGGCGGTCGCTGTCATGCGATTGCAGACAATTCAGATGATATAGATGGGCATTGCTTTGCGTGCATGATATTATGCCGTTGCAAGGGAACTGCTCTCAGAGAAACCACTATACTTGTGGCAATATGTGTAGGTCTAAGTATGCTCTCAGTAAGTGGGGGTGCATAGCAGAAAGTTAGAAATGTATATAAATGTAGTTTAAATATATTTTTTAATATTTTTTTAATGAACGGTTAATTTATAATCCATAATCAAACAGCATGTTAGTCAAACAACCCTGATCTAGATAATACAATATATACCTACTGCTTGTTACATACGTTTTAACAAAGCCATTTTATGATGACTTGAAAATGATACAAATTAAATTACAATTGCAAAAATGAATTAAAGTTTGGCTTAACATTTTCAAATATCTTAGCCAGAGCTCGGTAACTATAACGCAAGCTCGTTGAGTGCAGTTGAAGGAGCTCACAGGTGCCGTCACCAAACTTTCCCCGGCATTACGGTGCATGACGGCGGTGACTGTAACTACTTGAGGCCATGGCGTAACAGGCAATAATATTATTGATAGATTAAGAGTGGGTCGTTGCTGAGGGGTCAAAAGTGGGCTAACGAGCATGCTCTCAAGTGTTGCCATCTTCGGGGCTCATCTAAGATGATTAAAGACTCGGCTCGGGTTGTGCCAGGTGCAGTTTAGTTTATTTGCGTGCTGGCTCCGCACTGCAGCAACTCGTGATGCAAAGACAACAACATCGACGAAAAATGTCGCTTGGACACATCAATTGGCAAGCAGTTTCAAGTTACTGCAAGAAAAAAAAAAATGTACAGTAAATTTACATCTCGTTCTTTTTAGGCGATATCCTTTTTTTCGCGTCCTTTTTGCCAGATGCCATACTGAGACCGTCTGATACAAAAGCTTTTTGTGGCGATTACACAAAAAAAAAAGAAAGGCAGTGCCCAAATTGCGAATAGGCCACCGAAGCATTACGTTAACTAAGTCTTGGCTCAAAGTCTGCGGCTCTGCGGATTTGCTTCGGCTTTAACACTTTTCACTTCACTCTGCCTGAGTCTCACTTCATTCACTTTTTACTTTGTTTTTGCCCAATGCCTTCAGCTTTCGGGTTCCAGTCGATTTTCCAATATCTTCGGCATTTTTACCTTTGCGCCACTGCTGTAGAATGTTGTTACGTTTCCATTGCAATTGGTCGCAGCTAAGGATATTTGGAAAGAGAAAGCTATTAAACTTTTCCTTCCACATCGAAGGAATTAAAAAAAAAAAAGGGAAAAGACAAGCATGAACTAAATGCGTTTGGACGGCTTGAAAAATTCGATAGCTGAGGCTAAACTAATTAAAAGATCTTCATAATAAAATATAAGTTGTTACGTTAATATATATGGGACTTTATTTTGCCCCTCATACTTATGTTACGTTCATACACATTAATTTAAATGAAAAAATGTATAAAGAGATAAAGGAATAGATTATTAAATATAGTATACAGAATATTTTCTATTTAAAATACAGAGTTGAAAACAGAAATCGTGAAAAAATGGAATTCTGCTGTGCGTTCGCCGCGATTGAGTGATACTAAGTGTTTAACTAAGAGAGTGCGACATCTTTTTGCACAGATACCAATACAATAACAATTTAAGATTAGTTGCTCAAATAGCTCCAGCCAATGAGTGGGTGGGCAACACATTTACATATACATATATAATAGCAAGCTCGATCAGCAACCCAAAAAAAAAAAAGAATAAAACGCATGCGCACGAGCGAGATGGCGATATCACGACCACGCTCAACCAGCTACATAATAAATGCAAGTGTGTGTGCATGCACAGTCGATGTGCATGTGTGCATGCGCTCTCAGCTCAACTGTTAGAACAGTGCACTGCAGTGCTGATGTTATAGTTGTCTCCCTTGCTCTTTCCCATATAGCATAATTCTGCAAAAGCTCAAATTTTGCACTCAAGGCAATGACACACACATGCGTGTGTGAGTGTTAAATTTTTGCAGTTACTCATAAATCGGGCTTCCCGCTGCCAACTGTGGATTGTGTTTGACTGGAGGTAGTGGTGAAGCTGCTCTTTAGCATGCCGGACAGTGGGGCTACATTTAAATTAAAAATAATGTTTGCTTACATTGTTTACTATGCCGACTGCTAAGTAGCTACCATTCTCCCTGTCTCTCTATCTCTCGCTGTCTCACTCACTAGCTCGAGCAACTCCACAGCGCAGGCAGCAGCTCGGCGCTTAAATGGATCGCTTAACTTTGCGAGCGAAGTTCAGATGAAAATTATGGCCAAGTTGGGCGAAAGTGGGCTAAGATTTCGAGGTGCTCGCAACTTATCCTAAATTACAATCACTTAAAACAGTTTTAGCAGACATTATGCACTCATTTTAGACTTCCGTCTAATTTACATGCTATTTAAATTATGTTGCCAGTGCTCCAGCAAGAAGCCAACAGCCAACAGCCACCAGCCACCAGCGAACAGACAAGCCGAGCAACCAATATGGAGCAGCTTCATCAAAATGCCTCATTCAACCAGGTCYTGGGTCCTTGGGTCCTGCGCTTTGTGTCTGCTCAGTCCTTTTTGCTGTTCAAACTTGCAGCAGCTGTTGCCGCAGCTACTTTGTAAAAACTTTAGTATGGAATGTGGGTGGGTGGGGGCTGGTCTGGTCTGGTCTGAGCTGGTCTGAGCTGAGCTACAGGCTCTTGGCTAAGCAGTAGCAGCAGCAGCAGGAAGAGTGGCTGCAACTGCATAAAATTTCGCCAATATAATTTTAAAGAGCAGGCCACGGCGGCAAGTGGCTTCCTGTCCTATCCTGTCCCGTCCTGTCCCGTCCGGTCCTGTCCTGTCCTGTTCCATCCTATCCTGTGGCTCTATCTGTCTGTAAGCTTTTGCAATAAAAATGAATTAAATGCAATGAAGCAGCAATGCCTCCATTGGCTCCACTGCCTCCATTGCTGCTGCTGCTCATCCTGTCTCTCCTGTTGCTCACATCCTTGCTGCTCACGCCTCGGGCGGCGCGCAAATTGTTGCAACAAAGTGTGGAGCACCCCCCGACCCGCCGCTTCGCCTTCGCTGAGCCGCCAGCAACTGGTGTCAGTTTTTGTTACAGCTAGAACTCAGGTAGAGCAAGAGCTAAGTACAGGGACAGTACATAGATTCGTTTACAGCCGGTGCTGGTTCGCTATTTGCCACGCCCACGCCCACGCTCACGCCCAGCGCCTGCTGCATTTAATGGCAATTTGTAGTCGGTGGGCGGCCAGGCGTTTTACCTCATGCAAATTTGTGGCTTATAGTTTATCAAGAACAACGCCCCCAACGCCCCCCTTCCGAAGAGTCGAGGCATGCGAAATGCGTAAGTTTTGCATAAACTGCGTAGGTGCTTGCTAGTTAGGTTCTGCCATGGCGATAGAGCTGGAGTTGTGGTGCGAGAGAGTGGGGGTGGGGGAGGGCATGCTGAGGATCTGTGCATTCCTGCCTTTGTTGCGGCTTTTATGGCTTTCAAGTTGCGAGCCGCGTCAAGCAGCATTTTTGACTAGGTTAAGTGAAATGAAGTTATTTAAGAGAGAACGTGGGCGGCTGGCGCGTGAGGCGTGAGGCGATGTGCATGGGCGTGGCACTCAATTTCGAAAGTCCCTGCCTGCTAGACCGGGTCAAATGAGAAGCTGTTTTGGTATTTTTATGAGCTCCGCCAAGGATGAAACTATTTGATAAACGGCCATTTAATAAAACACAATGCAATTTACATGAATTATGAGATAAAAAAAAGCAAATATCTAATTGAATGAAAAATAAAAAAATAAAAAATTTAAGTAAATAATATATTTCATCAAGTGACGCAGGAAAATATGGTGATGAGATGGGTGAAGAGCGAAAAGTCTCTATGAACTTTCCCTTAGAGTCTACCTTATTTTAAACACCCCATTTCTAAATGAATTAAAATACTCATCGTTCACTTCAAAAATATAAGCAGAGAATGTTTAAATAAATTTTTATAATTATTGTTAATAATTTATATACATAAATGCAAAACAATTTGAAATAAAAATTCAATTGTTCGCCAACAAAAACAATTGAAAATAAATTGAACAATAAAAAAAAGGAAGGAAAACAACAACAACAATTGTTACAAATGTATTTAATGTGACGATCTGTCTAATATTATGCATAAGCTGCGCCCTGTGGCAAATAAACGCAGTCGAATCAAAATGGAAAGTAGCTGCTACATTTAAGTAGTTGCTGGAGAATAGCAGTGGGTCATCTGGGGGTTACCGAGAGAAAAACTTTCGACTTTCGACTTTCTACTTTACTTTCGACTTGTGTTTTGCTGTCGTCTCTCTCGGCTGACTTTGCTTCGACAGAGCCGGGCACAAAGTGCGTCCCACATGGCGTATGAAAGTTGGCGCAACAAGAAAAAAAAAAAAAAAAAAAAAATACTGAAAAAAATACAAAGCTGAAATGAACGAGGGAATTTTGTGCTCAATGTTGTTCCTTTTGTTGTTGTAGTTGAAACAAACAAAGAATGCAAAATTGCACTGAGCTATGCAAATTTGTTGTTGTGCTTTTTAGTCGCGTCTGCAGCAATGGGAATGGCATAGCAGGAGGCTGAGCCAGAGCGGGGAGGAAGCGGTAGGGCAAGGCAGAAACTGCAGCTGGGGCAAATCAAAGCCAATGCTCAAGTGAAAGCGGAAAGTGAACGAATCCGAAGAACGAACAGCGAATAGCGAAAGCGAAAAAATCTTGCTTAAAAAATTATAGACGACTACGTAATACTCTCTTCTGAGTTGCGAGAGAAATCTCTAAGAGATTAGAGTTATTTATATAGAATGAGATTTTGTGCAACAGCTTTGTGTATCGTTACAATCAGCTAATGAACTAGTTCATGAGCCAGAATTGTTCATGTAGGCTCCGTTGCCTAGCCAATGAATTTTTGAATATTTTCATATATGCTCTAGTGGGTTCCTTTAACTAAAGATCATAGATGATTGTGTGGGAGAACTGACAAAGCCGAACCTATTGAATTCAACTGAAGAGCTGAACTAACTAAATCAGTGAATAAATTTAAATTTACAGTGCAATAATTAAAAGCAGTTTGAACTTGTTCATTAAATCGAATTGACAATTATCGATATTAAAAACTTGAGGTTGGCTATGGAAGAACGGAGTATAACAAAAATAGTTGCATAACTAATAATAGCTAAGGCAGAAGGTAGAGCAGCGTAGACTAGAGTAAGAGTAGCTCCCGATAAGCAGTAGGCTAGAGTTATGTTATTAACATAATGCTGTTAATAGCATAGCAAGGCGAGGTTTGGGAGGAGCAATGCCTGTTAATGGAATCTGGCATTAATAGTAAGAAATTCTCTATCTCCCTTCGAGGTCTTCAAGGTTAGTGTGCCCGATATTTACTAATCTCTTTAGTTAAGATCACATTGCAGACGCTCATTGATGGCTAGAATTCGACAGCTGAGACCCCACGCCTTACTCTAGCTCGGAGTTCAAGATTGAGTTCAGAGTTCCAGCTGCACGCATTGGCTTGAAATTCGAACTCTTACAAAGTAAACTGTTTAAACTAGCTCAACTCAAAACCGAAAGGAACCGTAGCCTCTGGCTCCGAACGAGAGGGAGATAATATAAAGTGAAATCGAATAGAATAATGGATGATTTAAAGTTCATCATTGAATCAATATACCCATCTCGCTTACTGTACACAGTATTAAGGAAGAGCAAAGCTGCCTGCTGCCTGTTGTGTGTCCTCTTATGCCGTTGTCCTGTGGCGAAACAGGAAAACATAAGGCAGCTGCTGCTGCTGCTGCTCCTGCTTCTTCTTCTTCAGCTTGGAGCGCTTCACTTTCTGTGCTGCGCCTTTTTCTTTGTTGGTTGTCGCTTTGCTCTTTACCATTATTTCTGCATGCCTTATGCATGTTCCATTTGTGCTGCTCTTGTTGTTGTTGTTGTWGCTCGTCCTGTGGGGATCCTCAGAATTTGTTGGCCAACATCTCGGGCTTGCTTGTATTGTGCTGCTGCTGCTGTTAGCAGCTATTTGTTTGATTGTGGACATATTTGCATGCTGGTATAGTTTTTATTGGCACAACGTTGACACTGATAAGTTTCCCCCGAGAAACTCTCTCTCTCTCTCTCTCTCTATCTCACTCTTTCCTTATCCAACTCCCGCTCTTTCACATTTATGTTGCCTGCTTGAAATTAAATAACAAAAGGGAGGCGAATATGAAAAAGGACGAAGAGTGAGAGAGAGAAAGAGAGAGAGAGCGAGTGAGGTAGGTGGAAAAACAGCTGCTCACTTGAATATTAATTAATGCTTTTGCATTTTGTTTTTGTACCCTGAACGCATTGAAAATTGCAAATCAGGGTATATTGCCTTTGTTAAAGCATATGTAACAGGCAAAAGGAGGCAGGAACATATCATTAGCAAATGTAACAGGAAATAAACAATATATATTCTTGATTCATGATCAGCATGATCAGCGAGCAGAGTAAAGCTAGCCTTGTCCGTCTGTCTGCCTTCCATCTCTTCTTCCATCGAACATTTCATATCAAAATTTAAGTCTGTACCAATTGAATTTAGCTGCTTATTTAGATTATTAAATTTGGCCATCTCTGTCTGCATAAAGTTCGGACTATGGCCAGGGTATACCCCAGTCGGACATTTCTGAGCAAAGCCTTGTCTCATACTCTTTTTTGTTCACTCTTTGCTCGTTGTTTCAGCTGCCTCTTGGCTCTTGTCATTCGATTTGCATTTTGCCTGAATTTGATCACTGTGGCACACACACACTCATACACAAACATTGTCGGACACACGCGCGGGTGTGTGAGTGTGTATTATGCAAGTGTGTTGATAATGTGAGAAGCAGGGTATATAACTCCATTGCTTGTTATTAATATCAAATAATATAATATGTTCCAGCATAATAATAATTAAAATGTTAGTAATTTTAAAAAATATAACAAAATATGTGGTTATATATTCCATAAATATGTCAGGGATCATTAAATTAATGTGGATAATAGTAAAAAGATTGTTATAAAAAAAGAATATATTTATATTAAAATAAGATTTATTATTCATATAAGCATAGAAAACGGAAATATTTATATAAAACTATTATTTATATTGAAATATAG